CAAGGCCAACGAAGAGACTAATGATCCGATCAAAACAGAATGGAGTGTTGACCGGTGCAAAAGTAGTCGTAGTCATGATGAGATTGTCGATGTCTGTACCGCCTTAGATGACTGGTTGGCTTTTACAAATAGCAAATCCGCAAGTCGGCCTATCGCTTTTGGATGGTCACGTAGTGTGCAAATGCTAGGACAGGGCAAAGAGAATGGGTGCTGTGGCGCTGTACCCGAATGATCTTGATAATGCGGCGTCGCTTGCGTCTTTCCTTGGGCGACTTCCCGTCAAAAGTAAGTGTTTCAGTGTGTGGGTGTATCTGTGCTGAACTCAATTGCAAGCGAGACAAGTCTGAAGGACAAAAAAAGGCTGTCATGGCAAGCAAAAACACAGTTTTCTTTTGCATATCTGCCAGCGGAGTAGTCGTGGCAGATGCTATAGATGCAATAAATGTAAGTGTTGAAGTTATGTTCACCTCTGGTTTCGTTTGCTGGATCGGGAGAGCCTTCTTGGAGAGCTGCAAGAACAAGACGTGAAGATCATCATGGTGGCAAAGGCTTTGAGTTGCAACATATAGTTGGAGGATGGTAGTACATTGAAACTTGCTCGTTCACAGACTGTATCCAAGAGAATGTGCATGTGCTAATAAGTTGATCAGATCCTAAGCCGTAAATTCAGTTGGTGAGATATCTTGTTGCATAGCCCATTTAATAAAGAGGTGCTGTCCCCTTTGGTAAATACTATTAGTGGGTGTATTTTCCAGGGCGCCCTCCATGAACAGGTTGAGATCCTAAAAGTTTAATTCTGTTTCCGTGAAGCATCGCTTGATATCCTGCATGTGGATAGCTTCCACGTGGAACTCCTGAGTGGCCACAATGTCTTGGGGGATGCCAGTATGATCTCTCGGTTGGACAGGAGAATTGGCGGTTCTGTCGTTATCTGGAGGAGCAGTGGGAACCAAATTGCACTTGGTCAAATCAGTGCTACAGTCGTTGCTGTGACGTCTTCCTGCCAAATCTTGTGGGGACAACGAGATTTGAGATTCCACGGCAGGTTTAAGTAGCAGCTCTTCCATTCTGTTCATGGTACAGAGAAAGCGTTTTTGACGATGGCGTGTGGGTCTGGCAGCCATGAGACGTAATATGGTAGCAGATGTGTGATGCGGTCTGTGAAGAGATCTATGGAATGTGACCCCCAATGCTGTTCTATCCATCGGAAGACTGGCTGTGACAATTTCCATAGGTTCTTGGTGAAGGTGCGGCGTGATTCTAAGTCTGCTATGACACTTTCCTTCCCTGCTATGTGCTGACATGTTAACCGCAGGCCTCGGTGGAGAAACCATTACCAGATTTTGGTGGCAGGGTGCATCAATGACAGAACTCGAGAACCACCCTGCTTGTCGATATAAGACAGGGACTTAGTGTTGTTGACAAGTGTTGAGTTGGTGTGGTGCAACGTTGTCAGAAAAATAATAAATGAAAATAGAGTAGCCAACGAGTTCAGAAGGCAAATATATATATAGAGAGAGATGAATTACTGTGATAACGCTCGGGTCTATCCAACAGTAAGGAGATGTAGTAAAATGTGTATAGAAAGGACAAATATAACAAGAAGTATGCTTATAACTATCGCGAAGAGTTGTTATAAGTCAGTGACGATGAAATAAATGTATAAACAAAAGTAAATAAGAGATTTGATCCATAAAATAAAGATAGATAAGGATTTTTTTTTATTATTGCTTCATCTGAAGACTTTTATATGTGAACAATCTATGCTACTTTGTTATAAAGCTTTATTAAAGCAGTACCAATGATGAAATAAAATGCACAAGGGTATGCCTTGTGCAAGGGGATTGAAGGAAATCCTGCAAAGAAGTATGACGCTCTTTGCAGGATATTCGTGGTCTGAGCGGAACCAAAAGAACACACACCGTGACATTGTCCGTGCGAACCAATATTGAGGTGTTCTTGAGACCTGAAGAAGTTTGAAGTGCCAGGTGTACTGCTTTCATCGCTCTCCAATTGATAGACTGCTTTGTCTCTTTGTGGCTGCGATAGCCATATGCCACCTGAGCACTAAATACACAGCTCCAACCAGTGTTGCGGGCGTCGACAAAGAGGATATGCTTGTTCTGCTGCAGGAGTAAGGAGCGCCCATTCGATTGGGACATGTTGTGTTCCCACCAATGAAGTTCACGTAGGCATGTTGTAGCTAATGGCTGTGGGTCGTCCCAAAACTTGTTCTGCTTGACGAAGTGGTTCTTTTACCACATAAAGTGCTGTGTGTATAACTTTGCTGGAGGCAAAGCGATAGTGATCACTTGTATTTGGATGGTCAAGCTGTGAACCAATTTGGGAGTGGGAGTTGTATGCTGGATCATTTGACGAATGGATCTGTGTAGATCTCCCAGTTTAGATCTTAGTATCTTGGTAACCATTGCTTTAGTATCCAATACATAGCCTAGATATTCCAACTCTTGGGACGGTATCAGGGAGGATTTCTTGTAATTGATCAGCCACCCCAATGATTTGAGCTTCTCCCAGAGAATGTTGGTGTGCTTCTGTGAGGCTGGGAATGAGTCACCGACCACAATCCAATCGTCCAAGTAGGCACTAACCAGTATTCCTTGTTTGTGCGCCCATTCCAACACTGGTCGACTTACCTTGGTAAAGAGCCACGGCACCACTGAGAGGACAAATGGTGCCGTTCGGAACTGGTACGTGGAGCCTTCCCATTTGAACCAAAAATATTTGCGGGATGTTTTATGTACGAGCAGGTGGAGGAAGGCGTCTGACAAGTCGAGAGAAGTCAAGTAACCTTGTGGTCGAATCAGGCGACAGATTTCTTGAAGTATTTCCATCTTGAAGTGTGGTGCTGATATTTTCTCGTTCAGCTTCGTCAGGTTGAATACCGGCCTGTGTTATCTATTGTGCTTTGGGATTACAAATGTTGGGCTGGTGTGGCCCAATGAGTTCTGAGTGGCTTCCTCGATTGCTCACTTGTGTAGAAGTCCTTCAATCGCTTGTCAAAGTAGGCGGTGTTGCTTGTCTGAGTGCGGGATTATTGGTATGCTGTGGCGTGCAAGAGGAGGCTGTTTGCAGAAGTGTATTCGAAAACCCTCCTTTACTACGCCATTCAACCAATCGCTGCTGTTAAGACGCTCCCATGCACGCGCAAATTTTCTGAGGCCCCCTCCAACCAGGGAGCAATTGGCTAGTTGTTGTGTTAGTTGATGTTGCTGGTGTTACTATCGTGCCCGCTGTTGCTTCTGCGGTTGGTGTTCCTGTGATTGTGCTGTTGGTTTTGTCTGTTGCGCTGACCCAGTTGAAGAGTCTTTCCGTTGCTGTAGAAGGGGCGTCCACCTGCTTATTGAGACGGGCCTGATAAAAAGCAATGACTCCAAAGGTTTCCGAGTAGAAATCTCAAATGGCTTGGACATGGCCTTGCATACGGACACCTGTGTGGCCGTTTAGTCTGTAAGTGATTGTTAGAAATACTTTAATTCCATGATGAAGTGCTTGGAGCTATCTAAATCAGCGGACTGGAACGTTGGATTAACTGATTGGAAGGCTAGATTCTTGCGCGAGTTGTTCACGTTAGCCATTCCATCCACCAATAATGAGCGGATATCTTTGATCATTGCTAATTATCAGAGAGTATCTAGTTTAGGTGCCATTGAAAGTAGTTCGTGTGCTAAGATATCCAGGTGACTTAACACTGCTGAAAACGGATACTGTTTTTTTTTCAGCGAGGTATCCTCTCTTGCCTGATGTGGCTTATAGAGCGATTAATCCAGAGGTAGAGCTGCTAGTAGTGTATGGACATGGTATTGCATTGGGGTATACTGTTCAATGATCTTCTTACAATCTTCTACGTCCATTTGGAAGGTAAAATTTCCAGGGGTGAGAGCGGTAGTCTTCACCTGTAGCTCAGAAGGCATCCAACCAGAAGTTTCCCGTATAGTAAACGAGTGAATCCTATTTGAGTCTACTGAGAAGTCAGGGTTGGACAAATTAAGGAATTGTAATTTCATGTCATAGATTGGATTGGTGAGAAACACCAGAAAAACCGTTTGGTCAGCAGGCTCTTGAGTAGTCTGATCTTTAGAATTTGAATCTTCAGAATGAGACAAGGTGCAAAAGTGATTAAAGTAATAAGAGGATACCGAAAAGCAATGAGTGGTAATGCCCAGCGAAAAAGATGATCAAGGAAACAGAAAAATTTTAGAAAAAAAATTATTACTTTACTTTTTTTGCTAATTTAAATAAAAAGATGATTACAACAATTGCTCCCTCCCAGTTGGTTTGACGGTCTCATCCAAATTTTGGGAGCCAATTTTGGCTTTGACTTTAAATTTTTTTTATTAATAATGAACTTTTTCGAACTTAACCTGTAAACTACTTTAAGAAATTGATTTGATTTTTTCACTTATGAATTTAGAACTCTATATTATTAAAGAAAAAATAGTAATAATTCATGTCACTTTTATGAATTATAGTTAATGGCATTATATTCTAACAAGAAAAAAGCTATGGAAAAATTATTGGCTATTGGCTATTGGAAAATGAAATAAATGGTAAATTTGTGCCTGACTTTTATATAATGTAACACTTCTACAATCATAGCAATGACTTTGGGAATCCTAGTGAACAAATTGCTATATATTTACAGCGACTCTTCTGATATATGGTATGTAAGCCAATATAATATTACGTTTCCAATTCAATTTTCATTCTCAAGAGCTAAAGTCTTTAGATTAACAGTTTTTAATCAATAGAACCTTCAAGATCAGCAAGATGTCTAAATTACTCCAGACCAAAAACAGTTACATTTATCCCTATACTCCGTTATAGATATATTTTAACAAAAGCAAGGAAAGAGACAAAGGTAAAGACAGTCAACCATATTATTTTTTAATAATATTTTTAAAGACTAATAGGTTTTTATATTTTTTAAAAAAAAGAGACAAGAATATAAATATAATATCAAAGAAAAACAAGGGAAAATTTTATTGTTCAAAGTAAATGATTTTTGTGTACAAAGATTTTTACAAATTAAATACAAATTAAATTAAATTAAATAGAATATAAGATAGTCAAGTCCATGATAGTCCAGTCCAGCCCAGTCCAGTCCGGTTTTTTTTTGAGAAATATTTCATTCGCTTTGCAAGTATATATGTAAAGAGGATTTTGCAGCTTATTGTAATAGAGAGTCTTGGTCCAATCCAGAGCGTCGCCTCGATCCAGAGCCAGGTTCCAATGCAGTGTTCCTTCAGTTTTGATTTGATTTGATTTGATTTGATTTGATTTGATTTGATTTGATTTGATTTGATTTGATTTGATTTGATTTGATTTGATTTGATTTGATTTGATTTGATTTGATTTGATTTGAGTTGATTTGATTTGATTTGAGTTGATTTGATTTGAATTGTAAATGTGAGGTAAGCACCACAATAGAGTGAAGAACAGACTCCACTACCAAACACTGATTCCTTCTTGCGAATAAATCTGGCAAATTAACCATCTCCGGAACTATTACATACCAGGCACACGTACAATACCCACTTATACAATGTACTAACCATCATACAACAAGGATAAGAATTAAAAAAGATTTGAATAGTCAAATATAAACAATATTACCTTGTCTCTCTAATAAATAACACTCTCAAAGTATCTCAATATTTTGAAGAGTAGATACTTTGAGAGTGTTACTTATTAGAGAGACAAGGTAATATTGTTCATATCTGTTACCATTCAAACCCCTTGGAATTCAGATCCCTGTTGTATAATGGTTGGTTTCCACGGTATAAATGTGTAGTGCACGTGTGCCTGGTATGTAATAGTTCCGGAGATGGCTAACGTGCCAGGTTCATAGGCAAGATGGAACCAGTGGTTGGTAGTGGAGTCTGTTCTTCACTCTATTGTAGTGTGCGTGCCACAGCAAACAGGACTTAGGATGATGCCTGAGATTTGAATTTGCCATTGGAAGAAATAATTTTTGTTTGGAACTTGCATTGGACCCCTGCTTGGAAATTGGCT